CAAAAATTAAAATACAAAAAGTAAAAAAGCAAAAATGAAAATCATGTCAAACAGATCCTTAATCTAGTTTTCATGGTAGATGAATATATCGTTCAGGCTTGGATTAAATAGTCTTCATCCAGCTCAGCCCCAACCCAAACACACTAAAAATATGTTTGGGAAAAAATCGCATATACCCAAGAAAAACAAAACAACTCATGAAATACTCTATACTAATTTATATACTATAAATAGTTGGTATTGTGACAAATTAAATCAAAGTTACTACAGCTTTAAATGTGTCTAATATTTTGTAACTGAATTTGCAATAGCCAAATGCATTTAATTCCTTGATTAATTGTTTGATTGAGATAATCATGAAACTTACGGAAATGAAAACTTGCAATTGTTTGATCATATACAAGGTTAAGAACTTCACAAGATATTTTTTGACATTATATTTGTAATTCTCGAGATAAAAATACATCATATATTTTTTCATAAACTTAATTTTTGACTTTATATTTATAATTATTATAAACATACACTTCTAGAAAAATCAATATTTAAGATTTCACTTATCTCTCTAATGTGGCATGGGACATCTTTAATTTTAATAAAGATCATTTTGTCATCAGATTGTTAAGTATTCATCAAATGTTAATAAAATATTGGGAATTGCAATATTAACATCTATCATATTGCAATACTTCGACAAAATCTTCATACCTATGCCCATTCGGAATTTACAAAAATGCAAAATGCAGGTCCATTATTTGTAAACATGTATTTCGAACCAAAATAATTTCATTAACAATAAGTTTTCATCAAAAAAATCAATATTATTTAATGAATACAACATGTATGAAATTAGCTCCTTGGAAATAAAAAAAATGCAACTGTCTTTAGTCCAACATATTTGATCAAGTCTTATCACCATGTTGGATGCTTTATGAGCTTCTTTCCTCTTTCACATTTTATTCAGTGGCAGTGATTGTTTACACGTCATTCTATCATGGGTGCACCCCTTGCACCTTACACGTCTTGTTTTTTCATCTTACTTTTGATTTGATCATATTCTTTGCCTTTTTAAGTATCTTCAATTGTCATTTGGATGTTGGAGGAAATATTACGACCAGCGATAAACCTTATAATATTGGCGAACATTTAGTTTCAATATCTTAAATTGGGAACATTAGACACCAATTATGATAAATTAAATTTCCACATCAAAGTTTTCAAGGAAAATATAGCTTAAATTCTAGCAAACCATTGGATTAATAGAAAATTGTAGTGCAAGAACAATCTTTATGCATTATAAAATTTCAACTAGCAATTCATAAAATTTTCTAAGAAGGAAAAAGAAGAACCAAAATAGCTTTTTCAAGGGGAAAAATATACAATATAATAAATTCTAAAAAACATAAAAATAATATCCAATAAAAAGATATAAATTTTTGTGGGATTTGGTGGCTTTCTTCTTCTTTGGAATCGAAGTCAAATCTATGGTGGACAACAAAGAACACAATATGTTGAATCTTGGCTTTAGGGATTTGGGTTCGGAAAGCGGAATCTGAATGCCATTAAAGAAATTTTGGATAAATCAAGGGAGAAGGTAAAGAATGAAATTATGAATTTTGAAAAGGGAAAGATTTGGTGATCTAATTTTTTGAGCATAAATCACGGGAACATACATGGATTTGGTTTTTCATTTTTTACTTATAAAATGTCAGTATGTTTGGAGTATAAAATGTGGAAATGTAATATTGGAATTAATATCTTAAATAGGGTTATCTTTGTAATTTACACTATATGTTTTCGTGTACAATTTTGGACCACTTGAACTTATTCTTGAAAATAGAAAAAAATGAAATAGATGTAGGAACATCGGGGAAGGTATTAACAAAAAGTGTTAGATATTGCAGTTGTCATTAAATTTTCTCAAATATTTTCTAATTGCAATTGAAATTAAAAAGTTCTCGAAATGTCACTGAAGTTTTCTAAATATTTTTCAATTGTTGTTTAACTTTTAAAAGTAATTCGAATTATCATCAAACTTATCAAAATGTTATCATATTATTGTTTTTAAAATTAATGGACTGATGACATAATATTAGAAGTAAAGATGGGATAATATTTTTGTAAGTTCATCCAATTCGTTAATTTTTATAATAGAGAGTGATATATGAGATCACATTTTCGTAAATTCAATTTGCTATTGAACTTTAAATGTTATTTGAATTCTCATTTAATTTATCAAAATATTATATCATTCCTTATTCGTTGTTATAAAAAGTTCGGTTAACTTGTCTTGCATTCCTTAACTCATAATTATCTAAACGGAAATGCTAAATGAACAAGAGTCTGTCCACAGGGGTCTATCAAGGCCCCCATCACAATAGCATTTCCTTTACCTAAATTTGCTTGTGTACTTGAACGTGTCACGTATGCCGATAAGTGCACGAATGCACACGTACATCATGTTATGCTCACTATACAAGCGTTTGTTCATCCAATACTTGAATAACATTTCAAGTAGCCATGGCACGTACATCGGTAAGTGCATGAATACACATACATCATATTATGCTCACTACAACGCTTAATAACATTTCAAGTAGCCATAGAACGTACACCGGTAAGTGCATGAATACACACACCCATCATATTACATTACCATGCTCACTATACAAATGTTTGTTCATCCTATGCTTTGCCCCCGTTTGACAATTCACGTTTTGAATAGTGATTTTTAGGAGAACTTTTGGTTAAAAACTAGGAAACATTGGGGTTTTACGTATAGTATATTTTATTGTGTGAATGTGTGGTTAAAAATGAGTTTGTAGAAAGAAAATTGAAAATAAAGGTTGTCAAACAATGGCTTAACAACATTTCGAATAGCCATATATAGAAAAGGGATGACACGAATTCTTAGATTACTGCTCATAGTTGCACGTAATTTTAAAATGTTTTATACGTGCTATAAAAATAATATTTGAAGATGTAAAAATATAAAAAAAATAATTAATACAAATTGTTTATGTGGAATGAACTTTTGTTTCAAATGGAATAAAAATCAAATTGTCAAAATAATTTAAATAGTTTAGGAAATCAATTAGAATAGTCCCTCCATTTACCATTTTGATCTGAACTGAGCATCCAACGAATACCATCATTTCTTCGTATTCACATAATATGCATTGAATATATCAATTGAAATTATTTATTATAGATAAATAGTATGTCCCGCCGTTTACCTCTTCTATATCTTAACATTTATTGAATAAATCAACTGAAAGAAAACTCTAAAAATATTCATCTTTTGTTCTACAAAATTTTTAATGAATTTAATTTATCATCCAATCAAATGGAATGAACCTGTCAAATGTACATTGATCATAACTAAATAATGCATGATCATATTGTTCAAGTTATTAAACAAATCAAATACATAATGAAAAATTAAAGGGCAGTGAATCTATCAAATATGGTTAAATAAATTAAATATTTATTGAAAAACAAAAAGTAAGGTAATGAATGTTCAATATACATTTATCATAACTAAAATAGTTGATAAAAACAATTAAGATCATATTGTTCAAATGATTATTAAATTAAATATATATTGAAAATGAAAAGTATAGTATTATTGAAATAATTAAATACATATCGAAAAATGAAAAGTGAGATTTATTGAAATAATTGAATTATATTAAGGATGGAATCGTCTAATAAATAATTCTCAATTGATTAATTTTTAGTATATTATAGTTGTGCCAGGTGACAAATTTTGAGTTTCAGACTCTTGGACAAGTAAAAAAGTTCTCTCAGTTTCATGCATTTAAGCCCAACATTTTATTAGTTATGTTTTAATACACAATACCTTGACGAGGTTACTTTGTAGAATTACTTTCGCAACAATAGTACTATTATTGGCACATGTGATAGCACTAAATATTTGAAATTGTTGTGTCGATTAACTTTATTAATTTTCTAAAATGTTTATGCCCCCGGTAGTAATTTTTCATCCAAAAAATCAATTTTTTAATCATTATTTTACTATTTCAACCGTCATTTTTACTATTTCACTCACAAACAGGACCCACTTTTCTCTCTAACGATAAAAAAAAAATTCTTATAATCACTATCGAACAAACCCAATATCTTGAAAGTTAGAAAGTTTTTAAAAGATGTTAAATTGAAATTTATTAAATTAGTATTGTTATATTTTTGAGGTACAAGCCTTGTTAAAATAATTTTTGGAAACCAGGATATTTGGTATTCTCCACATCATAATAATGAAAAATAGTCGCCGGATTCGAGTCAAGACAGTCTATCTTTAGGCCGTGTTTGTGCCTTATTATTTGTGAAGAATGTATTATGAAATAGTAATTGATGTTAAAATATATAGTTAAAAAAGATGGAAAAGATTTTGATTTATGTGTAATATAATTTAATGAAAAATGTGTGATAGAAAATGAGCACTGTAAAAAAATGATGTGAAATAATGGTAGACAAACAAAGCATTAACGTGTCCAAAGTTTGATGTTAGTTTCAAACGCAAAAGATTAAAAATTAGAACCATGCTCCTTTTTCAGAAGAAACATGATAGAGGACCTGATCGATACACACATATGAAGGTGGGACCACCTCTTCCTCCCAATTGTTTATTAATCCGGGGTCTGATAATTGTGAATGAGTATTAAGGTCTCTGGCATGCTTTTTCTGGGGAGCATTTTCCTAAAAATTAAAAAGTGAAATATTCTCCTCAAAAAGAAAAAGATAAAGTGAAATCTGTATCGATTAAAGGAACAAAGGTGACGAGGAATTTAACATTGGGGCCACAAAAGACTTCCTCGGACGAAACTTTGAACGAGTCAAAGATGCTGAAATTACCGAAAAAGCGTACGTTAAATTCATGTGTCTCAAGACTTTTAAGAGGTAAAGGTTAATCAGGTCTTTTGGATTATTCCGACCAATCAACAATTAATAGAAAATTATTAAATATAAAACAAGGGCACTGGTGAATAATGAAGAAAAATCGATTAATTAATAATAATTTAAGTACAATATAATATATGATAAAAACTCCCTATAACTGTAGAATCAGTTTGTAAATAATAATCTCCTAAAACATGATGTAGATAAATACTCAAAAAAATAAATCACTGGAAAGATAATCTTGAATCGGTTGTTTACGCCACCAAAGCGACGGCGACGAACCCAGCAAAGGCTGACGCAAAGCCCAGTCTGTTCAGTACAGCGCCGTTCGATGCAGGCTCTGGAGCGGGAACTGAGGCTGGCGGCATGGCGACGGAAGGCGAGGGAGAGGAGGTTGATGGAGGAGGAGATGGCGGAGAGTTGACGGCAGATGGGGTGGGAGTAGGGGAAGAAGCCAGTGGCGGAGTTGAAGGGACAGTTGTTGGAGCAGGACCAGGAGCAGAAGCCGGTGGTTGAGGAGTTGCAGAAGGCGGCTGAGTCGTTGGTGTAGACAGCGGAGATGGCGCGGCGGAGGGCTGCTGCGCCACGGAGAATCCAACCAACAATGCTACAATCACGAATACCAAAACCCTAGACACGGCCATTGTTAATTTGTTAGACAAGAAAATCTTAAAAGCACCGAAGATTGAGAGAGAGAGAGAGAGAGACTTAAGAATAGAATAGAAGAGAGAAAAATATTTTTGAGTCCAATGTGAGGGGACGAGGGTATTTATATGCAGAAAGGTTTCATAATTAGAGCCGACGTTCCCATGTGTACACGGAAGTAAGGACGGTGGCGATTAATAAGTTTCCCAGCATGGTAAAACACGGTTTCTGTATAGCTGTAGGAAAAAAATTGCTTCTACACTCAAGGGTCGTAGATGTTACTTAAATCTGACGTTTTCAATGAAATTACAGTGAAATATGTATAAAAATGATGGATTCCACGAATGTGATTAAAAATGAATTTTGACTAACTTTTTATAAAATAAAAGTTTTGGCAAACGAACACTAACTCATTTACCAATCAAGTAAAAAGCATGAGATTCTGGGACGCATAGTTTTTTATCATATTTTCAACTATAGAATTCGTTAACTTTTATTAAAACTTACTTAAATTTTTTATTTTTATCTAAATCAAACGGTGGTTAGACGTAGGAACGCTTTTCTACTTATACAAAACTAATTAGGATGATTTAGGACCAAACAAAAATTAAGATTTGATGATAAGTAGCCAACTAATATAGCAAAACACGTTTTGCTATTACGGCAATAACAAAATTAAGTCATGTGACTTTTATTCTTTTTAGTTTTGAAGCAATGAGTTTTCTTGTTTTATGAGTAAACCAATTAAGGCTAAATTACAGCCATTCTAGAGAGTTAATTCTACATATTTTCGAAAAATGGTAACCATTATTCTTAGACAGAATAATCCATTTGAACCCGACATGCCCGATGTGAGTGAGGGGGTCTGGCCTCACACATTTATTGGCATGGGCACCGACCCCCCATATGAATAGCAAGTAATCTGGAGTGTCAAACTCCGGATACCTGTAGCAAAGTTCTTCTTAGACCGTATCGAATGGGACATAGCATGCCGAGAATAAAAATTGGGGATAGGAATGCAAAAAGAAGCAATTTCAAGGATGTAAATCATGAATAATAGCTTACCAATTCTATTTCTTTGTTTTAATTCACTTTCCTTTTTAGACTGGTCCATAGTTAATTTTAATTAAAATTGACTCAAAGGATCAAATTGGATGGAAGCGCGTGGAGAGAGTACTGGAAACACAAAGGGGGAGCCAGGCAAGTAGTTGGAGAGGCAAAGGACCTATGTGGTTATGAATTAGTACACTAGCGTGAAATTTCATAGTTTTTTTATGAAATTAGTTGAAGTATTTCGTATGGAGTTTTATTTTATAATTTTTATAAACTTTTGCAGAATTTAACAAATTTTGAAAAACTTTCATTTGAAATAGAATTTACGTAGATCTAGTAAAATAGTGTGAAATTCTCATAAATGAAATGTTGGTTCCCACAATTCTCCTTCTCATTCCCCTTCCTCCTTCCATATAATAAAAAATAAATAAAAATTGAAAGAATAAAAATTTAAACCTTAATTAAATAAATAATAATCAATAAAAAATTAATTAATTTCAATATTATTAATATAACACACCTTTAAAGTATAAATAAAAAATCAATATATTTAAATTTAATTTTAAATTTTCTGTATAAAATTTTATAATTTAATTAAAAATCTATATTCTTCACAAAAAAATGAATAACAAAAAAAAAAGTTATAAAAATCTAATTTGATTTTTCTTAGAAAACAAAGATAAACAATAAAAGAGAAGAAAAATAGAAATAAATATAATTAAATTTGGACGCAGCAGTTTCACTTATTAAATATCCAAAAATTCGAATTAGAATTGAACCGAATAATGTCCGATCATAATATTAATCTTGCACCAGAAACCCTCTCTTTCAATTGAGAATCTCCAAACCCTTGTACGAAGTTGTGATTTCATTCTCCCCAAGGAAGTCTCTATGTTATGGTGTATAGCGTGATGTTTTTCTTGACCTAATTTTACTCTTTGTATAGAACTTAATCACCTAAAAAAAACATGCCTTGAAGAATACCCAAAGTGAATGGTTCAAAAATAAGAAAATTTATGGTCGGAGAGGGAGGTGTCCGACCCTGCTCGGGGACGAGCTTGGTGCAGCAAATAGGCCAATTTTGCCTCCAAAATTCAACTGGGATATCATTCCTAACTTTTTGGCCGGCAATGTCTTTTTCATAATACACTCTCACTAATAAATTATAATTAAATACTATTATAAGCTTCAGCAATTGTTACTTTTTTTAAATTAAACCAACTTTATTGAGCCTAAAATCAGGTGAAATATGCCGGTCATGTCATTTTGTACAGAGAGACTGGTAAGAAATTCACTCCTTTTTTTTCTTTTTTAAAGAAAACTTTTGATTTTTTAAATGTACCGTCTATTATAGGAAAATTCTCAAGTTTATTCATCAATTCTTCTGTCAACTGTGCTACTTGCACAGATCCTGTGCAAAGGGGCCCATGCAGAGAGCTTAATTCCTCCTCTTTTGGTCACCATCTTCAATCAAAACAACCAGATTTTACAATTACTGGAAGGAAAGAAAAAAGAAAAAAAAATTCTAAATATTTTGATGCATGCATCTTGGCAATTGCCTTAAAAAAATGGCCATTCACATGACCTGTGGCAGCCCAATATCGCGTAGTACAGCTCGGTTTACATTAGGGCTAGGCAAATCTCCCGAACTGAATCGAACGAACTGAACCCGAACCGAACCCGACGGTTCTTATCAAATTAAATACCCGAACGGGTATCTGAATTGAGAACCGATGGGTACGGTTCGGTTCTCGATTTTAGACCAAGAACAGAAAAATCGAATAAGAACCGAATTTTTTTATTTTTTTTTTATATTAAGTAAATCAAATTATTTTAATTTTAATTTTTCTAAACAAATTAATAAATTAACATTTTCTAAATTCAAATTTTTGACCTAATAATTTGTTTCATTTCTAATTTTTTAATTTTTGGCCTAATTACCCATTTTATTGTTTTATTTCTTAGCCTAACAAGATCCAATCCACTAAATAACCCTAAACACGTACACTAAAGTGCATAACGTTGTCTCGACTCTCGCACTCACTCTTGCAGCCTCGCTAACATTCCAAAACCTATACAATCGTCGGCCTACGCTGTGACCTCCGATCGAAACTGTGACCTCCGCCGATCGAAACTTTGACTGTAGCGATCATTTGAATAAAGTAGTCTACTAGTCTCTGACATTCCAAAACCATTGAATGTATCATTAGTTGTATTTATATAATATTGTTATAAATGTTAAAAAAATTTAATTATAATATAGAACCGAACCGAACCGAACCGAACCGAATTGAATCGAACCCGAACGATTCCATAATTATATTTGGACCCGACGGTTCCATTTATTAGATACCCGAAAATTTTGGTTTGGTTCGGTTCTCTCTAAAGAGAACCGAACCGAACCGACCCACGCCCACTCCTAGTTTACATCTCAAGCTACAATTCTGTGATCTCATCATTTCAAGAACTAAAATTTCAAAAAATATATGAAATATTTGTTCATTTTAATGTAAATTGACATTTTGTACATGTTTTCCAAAAGGAATAGCGTACATTATTGAAAAGAACACATTATAACTAACTAGAATCCATTATAACTAATGCCTCCTTATACACTTCAAAGAAGAATTATAAAAATGGTACAATGAATGATCAGCAGAAGAATCATATACGAATTTGGGATGAGCCAAACGAATCAATAGAATATAGTCCTTTATTCAGTTCCCATCAAAATCTTTATTTGAATAAGAATACCAGTAGCATCGCATCTTGCTCTAAGTCCATCAACATGTATGCAGAGCGTGTTGAAAACAGGCAAATGGTTTTACGACTCAGATGCAGAAGAACTTTCTGCGCCAGGTTTCTCGTTCTTACCGTTGATTAGGGTCGGGAGGCCATTGGATCCAAAGCCATAAACGTGGCCCATTTTGGCACGTTTTGTCTCTAAATATCTTTTGTTCTCCTTCGTGATGGGAGTCAGAAGGGGAACCCGTCCCGCAACAGCTAAACCATAACCCTTTAGCCCGCTGTACTTTGCAGGATTGTTCGTCATCAGCTTCATAGTTGTAACCCCAAGATCTCTTAATATCTGCACATACAGATTATACAAGTTCATTTCGATGCAATACTAGAAAATTGGCCGTAATTGGGATATGCATGTGCTGAAGTAAATGTAAGAATGAAAACAGTAAAAAACACCGACAAGTAGTAGATAAACCGAACCCATTTAACAGGAGTCAAATAACTCGTGTGAGAAAGTGATGTAAACTTGCTTATTCATATATGCTAAATTACTGGCTTAAAAAATTCCCTACCCATGAGACAAAATATGAGAGCTTGTTTGGTTGTGCTTAAAATTAAGTATAACTCATTGTTAAGTTACTTATATTGACAAATATAATTTTAGAAGTTACTTCTTTACTAAGAGTCTATCTGGTGGTGCAGATTTTTAGCAAAAAATGGATTCTTTGGTGCCAAAGTACGGGTTCAGTATGAAATAATTTTGTATTGACAGACTAATAATGAAAATGTTGACGTCTAGCGATTATTTCAGCAACCAATCGTTGTTGCAATGACCATGCCTCTTCACTATGATCAAGCAAGGAAATAAATTGGTATGGTTTGGGGGAATACAATAAGGGGCAGAATGGTCATTTCCGACGCCTACTCATGCTTAAAAGTGGATTAGGATTGGACATTTCAATCAGTGGTGGATATACATGTCTTAATATTTTAATAGAGGTTTTGCTAAAAATATGATTAAAATCACCTCCAAGCAGAACTAGATACAATAAGTTCTAAATTACTTTATGGAAAAGCAACTTTTAATCTCAACCATACTTGCTCACAAAATCATTATCTATCAAAATGAAATAATGGGTACTGTATCACTATCCCAGGCAACGAGCGCGACAGCCATCTGGCTTAATTTCCAAGTAGAAGCAATCAAAACCTTTGTAAACCTGTCAACTGACTCCAACCTTTTTATGCTGAATCGAATAACAAAATGGGCATAGGAGATTCAAAAATTGGACATGTAGATGGCCAAAGAGGAATCTTTTTCAAGAAAACAATATCAACATGGTGGAGACTCAACTTTTTCCAAGGAACTTACATGCATTCAAAATGATATATAATATCAATTTTCAAACTTAATCTAGAACCAAAAGTAACATGCCAAATAACTGAGAACTACTCCTTTATGTTAATTCAATTTAATAATGTACCTCACCATGATGAAGTTTTCTCATTCCTCTCAATGAAAATGTAATGAATGCAAACCCGAGGCCTAAACACGATATTTTGCATTTTGTCGTAACATATGTTGAACATACAGCACTGTATAGATTTAAGAGTCAAATAAATGCCTCTTTTATAAGTAAAAATTTCCTCCCATGTTTATCTTTATTCCCTTCTTCTACAAACCTCTGTGCTTTATGTCTGAGCTTTTTTATTTCTTTTTTATACAGGCTTGGGGTTAAGAGGAGAGAGCTGCTATTTTTCATAATTGGTATTGGAGAGCACTAACACAAGTCTGTGGATGTATGCATGCAAGAAGTGTCTGTCTGTGTGTGTTAATGTAACTCAAAGAAAATAGAGTTTTCGGCAATTCAATGCTACGTGCTACATGTTTCCAATGCTACACCTTCACATATGACTATAGAGTACCTGTGCACCAATCCCATACTCTCTTGAATCAACAGGCAAACCAAGCTCCTCATTTGCCTCAACTGTGTCACGCCCAGCATCTTGCAGGTTGTATGCACGAAGCTTGTGGCCCAAACCAATTCCCCTTCCCTCATGCCCCCGGAGGTAAACCAAGACGCCTCTGCCAGCAGCCTCAATCTGCTGCATGGCAAGTGCCAGCTGGCTCCCACAGTCGCACCTAGCTGATCCAAATATATCCCCTGTAAGACATTCAGAGTGCACTCTGACTAGAACATCAAGTCCATCACCAATATCGCCCTGCTTACATATATGCCATTAGAATAGCTTTTGAAATACATACTAAAGTTGAAGCTGAAAAACTACAATCGAGGATATGTAATGGGGAATAGTCAGACAGAAAAAATTCTAAAATCAAAATGCAAAGTATAAACTTCCTTGATAAAAATATATTCCTTCAAAATTTCCCAAAATAATCACCTTAACCATGGCAATATGCTCAATTCCATCTAAAATTGACCTGTAACAATAGGCATTGAATGGGCCCCACATAGTAGGTATCTGAGCAGAAGATGCGTGTTCCACTAATTTATCTCTTTTCCTCCTATATCTGCAAATCATAGTTTGTATTAGCCCTCCTACAAGCTATTAAAATTAAAGAAAATTTTGGGCTACAATAGAATATAAGCACAGGAACAATAGAAAAGGAACAGCAATGAAAAGCAGGCATCTTCCTACAATTCCAAAGCAGTTCCACTGAGCGTGAAAGAAACAACATGAAAGCACTTATAATAACTCCAAACAAGAATGTGAGTCTTATAATATAGTAATAATTAATAAACTACTGCTTGCAAAATATTGCTAAAATGAATTCCAAAACAAATACTCAGTAACACCTGACTAAGTCAGCAATAGATATAATCTTGAGGTTTTCTTGCTGTACAAACTGCCGAAGCTTAGGTAATCTAGCCATTGAACCATCATCATCAACAACCTCACAAAGAACTCCAACAGGGTCCAATCCAGCTAGCATGGCAAGGTCCACAGAAGCTTCTGTGTGTCCGGCTCTTTTTAAAACACCGCCTTCTCTGTACTTTAAAGGAAATATGTGGCCAGGGCGATTGAAATCCTCAGGCTTTGAATCCTTTGATGCAAGAGCCAATACTGTTGTCGCTCTATCACGTGCTGATACTCCTGTGGTTGTATCATGTTTTGCATCCTACAAGAAAGTTACGTGATTTACGCTTACGCAAGTATCATATGATCTAGGGTTAACATCAGAGCTTTTGCTTCCACAAAAATATATTTTGTATCGCTTATCTCACAAGACTTCATAAAATCATTACCTCAGTGTGCTTGTGTGCGTTGTAGTGTATAAACTTAAAATTAAAAAAATAATTAACTATTTCCACACGTTGAACATGTGGAATATACAGGCTGAAATTGTTTATTATTAACATAAGTAGCATATTATCCCCAGTTAAGACGATACTAGCATCATAAACCAAAATCAAGAGAAAAATACACAACAAAGGTATAGGTATTGAGTGTTCCTGTAAGGAGAAAGAAAGAACTTACTACTGAAACGGTAAATGCAGTACAGAGTTTCTCCTCATTTTCTTTATGGGATACCATGAGAGGAAGCTGCAATCTTTCCAAGTCTTCCTCTTTCATGCTCACACAAACAATCCCAGTTCCATGCTTCACAAAGAATGCCATAGCCTCGGAAGTAACTTTAGATGCAGCCATTATTATATCTCCTTCATTTTCTCTATCTTCATCATCCACGACTACAACCATCTGCATTGTGGTCCAAAACATAAAGAAAATTAAGAACACAGTGGCTAAAAATTTACGTTCATGAAACTGAGAACACTCATAAGATACAACCTTTCCTTGACGAATGTCTTCAATGGCCTCTGTAATAGAGGAGAAACCTTCTGACGGCTGGTCCAGGTCAAATTCATCATCTTCAACAGCAAAACCACTAGTTGTTGAAGCCATATCTGCTGCAAGCACTCCAAAATCTACAGAATCAGGCTGTAGTTCAACTCCGCCAGACACATCACTGATAAGAGCATTACATGCGAAGTTTTTGCCACTTGAATTGGGGAGAAGGCCACCTTCCCCAAATAACAGAACAGATTTAACTCTTCCATTGGCCTTGTTAGTAAGGCCCACTTTAGCACGCGGCAGATTAAAGGACTGTATTGCGCAGCTATTCTGAGAATACAGATCACCACAATGCTGCTTATCAAACCGTCTGGAATTTTTAAATCTCCTGCACAACAACAAGGTTGGTTACCAATACGCGTCATCAGAAAGGGCAAGATGCCAAAAGCTCTGAAAATCACCAAATTCTGCTCAACAATCACAGCATTTTTTATTCCAACAAACATGTCTAAAGTTCATTATGAAATTGTAGCTCATTTTGAGGTCTGCAACATGGCCAAATTTCATATCGACCGAATAGATAAAATACCACCCACCCATAACTCCATAAGGCTATGACCTATTCAAGAGCCCCTAATCAAACACAGCTCACATCATAGCAAAAGATAGCAAGTATCTTTTTCTTTACCAATTTTCAAGCTTTTGGAGCTAAACAAAGAGAACCCACGTTTCTTATATCACAAATAAATAGATGCAATCATATAATGGAAGTCAGATTAACATAAGACATCACATACCCATGAAGATAATCAATTCCATTTTTTTTTTTCTGTTGTGTGAAATTAAAAACAACAGCTTTAAAAACGCGCGAACAAATAGAAAATGGAGAAATAACTAAAAAAAATTCAATTTCCCATTTTATGCATCTAACCGAAAGAGAACAAATAATAAAAAAAGAAAGATTACAAGAAGAGCAGGGAGATCGCTTACTGAGATTCAGGAATGTTGGTTGAAGAGCAAGAAAACTTTAAAGAAGCCATCTTTTGGTTTAAGACTGAAGGGCCTTGATGAGAAAGTAGATGAAGAGAAATCAAGACTTTTGGGTATAAAATATTTGGATTTTACGTTTGGGATACCACATCTTTAAAGAGGAGGGAGGGACGAAAAAAAAATTCAAAGAAGAATGAAGAAACGACTAGGAATTAGTCATGGAGAGAGAAAGAGAGTTGGTAAAGCGCGGGTAATATAACAATGCGTCACCTACCAATCACGGTTCATTTCCTCTGTCTTGTAAGGGAACAAATGAAATACTTTTCCTTTAATAGAATTTTTTATTTATTTATTTTTGTTGAAAAGAGAGCAAGTGTTTAAAAGTTATTTATAAGTTTTTTATTAAATTAATATAAAATATTAATTTAAATCACGTGTTCACAAGTATTACCAATTTAATATAAATATGTTTAATGTTTTGTGAAACTACTACTATTTCTCCTAAAAAGTTTTCAATAAGTTTATCATAATAGCAAAAAGTCATCATTTAATTTTTTTAATTAATCGTGATATAACTACAACAATGATTGTACTTGTGTTAAATGTTACTTGGCATTTCTTGACCTTTCCTCTTCTTTTCTTGCAAGCAAAAAAAACAAAGAAGGAAATTTACTCACAAATAAAAATTCAACCATGCTTACATTTTTTTTCTTGATATTTGTGCCACACAAAAAGTCAAATAATAATTATCCAATTAGATTAGGATCATATCCAAATATACAATTTAGAACTAGACGCTACAAAAAATATACGGTTGAGATTCCTTTTAACATTCACTTATCGCTTCCTATAATCCTACTCGTTAATTTCAGGGACGGAAATCCGGCACCGGCTGTGTCCCACCTCGTTGCTATTCCTTGTTATGCATCAATCTCACAATTTAAATATGTTTGGCCTTTTTGTCATGGTATAATTTAATACTACTTGCGTATTGAAATTAAAATAGGTCAAAAACCTATAATGGTCAAATTCAATGAATTCATCATTATCTTAAGCTGGCCCAAAGAAAGGAAAATAATTGAACTTTTTTCTAAGTTGATTAGGTTGTCCAAATGCATTGGTAAATTATCTTACCATTCAATTGTCACCTTCATGTAGTAATAAGATTTAAGAACATGCCCCCCGGGGCACATCCAAGTTGGCAAAGGAAGGACAGTGCGGGGCTCGCAACCCCAGCGTAGGGAGTTCGATTCCTGGTTGGAGCAGTTGAGTGTTGTAATAACCAGAGGAAAAGTTAGAGCAGCTTGATGATGTAATAACCATGAAGGAGGCTCCCTTGAGGCCAGGAGTATAAAGGCTGTTCGAACCCTGGTCAACTTGGGCACATCCCGTTATTTACCTCCCTGAACTGCTGAGAGGCCGGAAGTTCAGGGATGAGGATATAGTCTGGCGTAAGCTGGGACACCTCGTTAAAAAAAAAAAAAGATTTAAGAACACTTGCACGTGTATAGACCATAACTGGATGGTGCAGGTTACAAATTGCAGTGGACAGGCGGGTGTGGAGAAAGCAATTATGCATACAGGCACTGCCATCATGAAGATTTAAGAACACTTGCACATGTATAGACCATAACTGGATGATGCAGGTTACAATTGTTGGAAATATATAGAGGAATGAAGAAGAGACAACAAAATGAAAATGTAATTACAAGTTGAATTAATATTCAGAAATTTGAAGAAAATAAAATGGAAGGTTCGAACGCGTAATAGCTGTCCTCAAACTATATTTGTCTCCTATCGAAATTGAATGAGATGCTTAAGGATCTTTGGCAAACGATTTGTAGGATTATAACAAACTTTGTAAAGGATCTAGCACCAAAACATAAGTGCGATCTTCTAAAACTTTAAGAATACAAAGAAGAAATTGAGTATGAATATCAATAAATTGTTTGATCTTTGATTTTGGAATGAGTATTGATCACAAAATGTTATTCACATTATTCGGCTTTAGATTTATCACCTATTTATAGGCCATCACCAAGTGAGCACGAAATGGTGCCAAAATAGGTTGAAAAGCCATCACTTTTGAAATTATAACGATAGAAAAATAGCTCCCAACAATCACAGGAAATCACCATGCGGCCACATGGTATTAATCCATGCAGCCGCATGGAGTAATTGAAGGGCCCCTTTAAATCTCGGTAGATGGTCATGCCGTCGCATGGCACAAAGTTTGGGCCTCCATTTTTTTCTTTATATTTCCACCGTTTGGTTTCCACGCTGGTTTTTCTTTGGCTTCCTTCATGTTGTTTCATTCCATTTTCATTCATTAATTGAATTTTGAACAACAATATAACAATCTCCCACTTGTTCAAAATTCCAATAAAGGAATCTCATACTCAAATCATACGATATTCATGCATAACGACTAGATATCTTTCGATTTAAATCTAGCCATAGTGTAATCCAAACAAAGTAAAGTCGGAATCAAAGGTAGCCGTAGCTTTGAACCAGTTATTCCATGTGACAATACCGGTCCGAACACACACGAGTACCACGTGTTCTCAAGTTCCTCATAACTCGCTTAGCACTGTTATGGCATTACGCTCATCCTATTCAACAGATTTTTAAGAGAGAAACTCCAACTCTCACTTGAGGCGGCACCACCTCGAAGTTTGTTTAGGTGAAGTTCTTCCAATACATTTGTTACTTTTAGAAGTACTTGTATTTTAGCACTGAACTTCATTAAGAGCTTTAATGTTCAACCCTCACTTCAGTAACAACTAAAATTATTTTACTTAGGATAGGGTCATTGCGAATTTTAATAATGTTATGACCATCCCACATATCAAAAGACTTGTTTTTACCTTTTGAACCTGTGGATTACCTTTTGAGTAATGGCAGATAGGGTTGCTGCCATTGGTGGACCTTTATTTGAAAGGAGTTTCAACTTCATCCTACTCGAAATAGATGTCACTAAATCTCTATTTAGTGGTTTAATTAAAGGATCCGCTAAGTTCTCAATTGACTTTACATAATTTAGGGAAATTATTCCATCTTTGATTAATTTCCTTATGTAGTCATGTATTAGACTCATAAATCTAGATTTTCCATTATATACCTCATTGTATGCTTTCGCTAACGAAACTTGACTATCACATATGATAGGTATTGAAGACATACTTTTCGATCCCAAAGGTATCTCATAGAAGAGATCTTTAAGTCACTCAGCCTCTTTCCCGGTATTCGATAGTGCAACAAATTCAGATTCCATGGTCGAGTGTGTTATGCATGTTTGTTTCTTTGATTTCCAAGAAACAGCACATCCTCCAAGAGTAAACACCCAATCTGAGGTGGATTTACTTTGACCCGTGCTAGATATCCAACTAGTATCGGTAAATCCTTCCAATACCGTTGAAAATTTATTATATTGTAGGCCCAAGTTCTTGATTTTCTTTAAATATCCAAGAACTCTCCCAATGGCCTTCCAATGATTATTGCTCGGATTGCTAGTAAACCTGCTGAGTTTACTTATTACATAAGCTATGTCCGGTCTTGTGCATTGAACTGCATACATAAGACTCCCTATAGCACTTGCATACTCCAATTGAGCAATCGCCCTTCCACTATTCTTTATAAGAGTCATATTTTGATCGATGGGGGTACTATATTCCTTTAAGTTCAAGTGTTTGAACTTATTTATCACATTCTCAATATAATGTGATTGACTCAAATAGTAACCCCCACTAGTCTTTATGACTTTGATACCCAAAATGGTATCCACATGTCCAAGATCTTTCATTTTGAATGTGGAAGATAGAAACCTCTTCTTTTCTTCTATGCCGTGCATGTGATTACTCATAATTAACATGTCATCAACATATAAGCATATAAATGTCACATAATTTCCACATACTTTGAAATATAAACATTTATCTACAATATTATGCTTAAACCCGAATGATATAATTGTTAAGCCAAATTTCTCATGCCATTTCTTAGGTGCTTGCTTCAATCTGTACAAGGATTTCACCAACTTGCATACCTTATGTTCATTTATGGGTAGGACAAATCCTCCAGGTTGTTTCATATAGACCTCCTCATTGAGATCTCCATTTAGGAATGCCGTCTTAATATCCATTTGATGAACATGCAAGTCATATATTGAAGCTAAAGCGAATAATATCCTGATCGATGTTATTCTAGCAATCGGTGCATAGGTATCAAAGTAGTCAATTAATTCCTTTTGCCGATATCCTTTGGCTACTAATCTAGCCTTGAAGGTATTTAATGATCCATCAATATTATATTTTCTTCTAAATACCCATTTACATTCTATGGGTTTGGATCCCGGTGGTAGATCGACAAGCTCCTAAGTGTTATTGGACATTATCGAATCCATTTCGTCCTTAATTGTATCCTTCCAAAACATGTTATCACGCGAAGCCATAGCTTCTTTATAAGTCTTAGGATCAGATTCCACTTGTAGAAAAAAGGAATTGTCCTTATAACATTCAACTCATTTCCCTCTACCAAATAGAAGGAGATAAGTTGAGAATCAATTTCATCCGATCCCAAAGATTTCTCAACCCGAGTTCTCTTATTTTTTCGTGGTTCACTAGATTCATCAACGTCTTTTGAAGACGTTTCATAACGTGTTCCACTTGAGCCAGGGATATTTTCAAAATTTTCCCTCAATTCATTATCCAAAGACAATGAATCCTCAAAGAACTCCACATCGTTGGATTTAATAATCACATTGGACTCCAAATTTAGCAATCTATAAGATTTGCCATTTTTTGCATATCCCACAAAGGCACACTTAATGCCTCTTGGACCCAATTTGGTCCTGTTAGGATTTGTGTTCTTGCTATAGCAAGACACTCTCACACTTTGAAGTATCCAATGTTTGGTTTTCTTTCTTTCCATAATTCATAAGGAAAAACCTTAGTATATTTCGAAGGAATTCTATTATGTATTCTACATGCACTCAACAAAGCTTCACTCCACAAATTAAATGGAAACTTAGCATGAATAATCATGACATTTATCATTTCTACAAATGTTCTATTTTTTTTTTCAGCCAAGCCGTTTTGTTCGGGTGTCCTAGGTGCAGAACATTGATGAATAATTTCATGTTGTTCAGAAAACAAATTAAATTCATTGGAAAAATATTTATCACCTCTATCACTTCTCAAGATTTTAATTTTCTTT